TTCTGCTGCAGTTGAGAACCCTAACCCGCGATATTGTGAGACTGCCATGGCATGATTGGCGATGATTTTCAGACCAGGTGTGAGATGCGGTGGCAGATATGTCGCCAGGATGCCTGGCCTGGGTCTGAGATTGCCAACTACGCGAGGATCATGATAGGAACCCATGTCCGCAGTGTCGCAGGGAGGGAGGCCTTTTACTCTGAACGTACTGACAGGTCTGTTCACAGATTCCGCAAAAAAACTTGTACAAGGAGAAGTTAGAGAGCTAGTTTCACTCACTATGGAGCAGTCAGGTACCTCCTTGTACGAGTAGAAATGGAGAGTACATACCTGGAGGGTTGGAGTTGTCGAAAAGAGAGATGGGTAAAATACTAAGGTCAGTGAAGAAAGAGAGAGAGAGGGGGGAGGGAAGTGGGAGGGTGGTGTGGACAGCCAACGGCCGCCGTATTGGAGGGCAGAGCGGGCGTCTTCCAGGTCTACCGTGACCTATCGATAGAGGGGATGGCAGCCAAGGGACCATTTACCGGCCACAGTCCACAATCCAGAGACAACCCCTGCACAGACCAACAGACCCAGCCGTGTAACCCACAAAACCCAGGCACAAAGGTGACAGGGAGGCTAGTGACACCTTACCAAGCCCAGTATCGCGCAATCGGCGCTTGGGGGTGTTGTTGGGCCCGGTGGCACCAGTGCCACCCGTGGTGTGTTGGTGGCCCCAGGGCGAGTGCGAGTAATGCGCGAATCTTCTCCATTCCAATGGCAGCCAAATGTCCCTTCGCTGGGCTTGTGGGATGCATATCCGCATAACATTTGATATAGGACCATGCTGAAGCTGTTGCTCCCGAACCTTTCTTTCTTTCTTGTTGAGCTTGATGTTTCCTAGGTCTTTGCTCTGGATTCTGTCGTTCCGCGACTATTCCCGTGCGTTCTGACTCCGTCCATCTGGTCTAGAATCGAACCCCTCGTTCAACGGAGCTCTCTTTCTTTTCTTATTTCACTTAAAATCATTTCATTTCAGCGCCCCCAGCCCTCGCGCGGCAGACAGGAACTGCTGGGGACCAGCACGAAGGAATAAAATCCAACGCTTTACGTCAGTCGCTACGCAATCGGAAAATCGTGGGCACGTCTCACCACCTGGTCTTTGCTGCCCTGTTGTGGCTTGTTGCGGACCCTCCGTCCTGAAACAAATCTTCGCCAGCGACATCATCCCTGTCACTAATAAATCCTCCGCCAGCCACCTGAGCGTTCCATACCACCTCGAGCAACAAGAAACCGTCACGTCGTGCTGGCCACTGTCGAGGCATTACAGGATTCCTCAGGGTGTCGCTGCACAAAGCAATAATATCACCGACCCTCCCTCACACCTGATCGCCTCCCGTCCTTTCGTCGTGTCGACAAACTCCTTCAATCGCGGTTATTCAATCTTGGTCTAAATACCAACCACCCGCTCACACAATCTCACAAATCCTTTTGCGCCCCGTCGTCGATATCCACCCCTCGCCCGCGTCGGATAACTTATCCTAGTCCATCCAACTTTGAATCAGTTTCTTCTTATCTCGACGTGTTTATCACCGGCACCATGACAACCATGTCTCCTCCAATCTCCCCACAACCCTCCGAGACCCGCCCGCGGGCTGGGACAGCCATGAGCTTTTCTTCCCAGCGTTCCCGTCGCAGTAACTCTTCAACGGGCAAGATCGACCTCACGGAGACTTCGCGGGATAAGAAGAGATTGAATACGAAGGCTGATCCTTCAAAAGCCATAACTGAGGCCACCCCAGGTCAGCGCGCCTCTGTTGTTGCTGATAGACAAACAAGTATTGACTTTGTATCACAGTGGAACAAGCACAGGAAGCATCTACGGTGGATGATTTGCGCAAGATGTTGCACAAGGACAACGAAGGCAATGTCATCAGTGAGTGATTCCTCAGGACATCTGGCGTCTTGGAGTCCGTCTGTTCTAATCGGGCTCGATAGCCGACCCTGACCGTTCCAACCCTACCCGTCATCGCCTGGAGCGCCCTCTTGACACCATCCGTGCATTCAACGCAGCTGCAGAGGGGACCACTTCACGTCGTACGTCCATGAATAGCAGGCCAGGTATGTTTGGACTCGGCACACTAGATGAGCCATAACTGATTTCTGTAGGTTCTCAAGTCGGCTGGAATGGAGATATGAACCGCAGAACCAGCTATTACTCAAACAATGGCTATTCTCCGCAGCGACCACGAATGTCGCCAGCTGGTGGCTACTACCGCAACTCATCATACGGATTTGGCCCACAGAGTGCAGTTGAAGAATCTCCAGGGTCGTCCCAAATGTTTGCCAGACCCCCTATGCGTCAACAAACCTACCCGTATCCAGGCTCTCACCAGAACGGGAACCCGAATGGTCATCAAAATGGATATCATAACGGAGAGAGTCCTGTGTCATACCACTCATACCACCAGTCCTACGAGACAATGACCTCCGGCTCAGAGGAGTATGGAAAATCCACGAACCCCAGTTCCCAGAACAGCTCCTTTGATCAGCTCCACCAACTACGCACCAAGCCCGAAGATTTCACGCCAGAGAACCCGTACGCAAACGAAATCAAGTTTAACCAGGTATCTCCGACAAAGCCACTCACATCATATGGATTTGGTGAAGACCACTATGGTCAGGAGATGGCACCTCCAGCAGTCCCAAGCAAAGGATTCGCTCTTCCAGCCCCAAACAATCCTCGGCAACCTATTCCGCTTAATTCTTCTCCAACCGATATGACATCACCCACTAATGCCACTTCCACCAAGAAGCAGAGCTGGATCAAACGGAGGTTCAGCAGACGAGATCATTGACAGGACACCCGACTGGGCAACTAGAGCTGATACCCTCTTCATTTTCGGCGCCTGGTAAAACACTCCATCGACTTCACTGGCGTTCTCCTTGCATAAGACACGGGGGGTTTGTGTAGCTGGGGCAGGAGCGCTCTTTTTACGACTAATGTTTGATGTAATTCTTGAATGATGGGTTGGAAATGAGTCGACGTGGCTGTCACATCAGCAACGGTGGCATGAAAAGGTGTATTACATGTGTGATGGCTCTGCAGGCTTTGGGGAAATACGAGCTGTGAAGCTGAGGAAGGGCACGCTCTCGCAAAACATATTGTGCAGGTCACACGTTTTTCCATAGCCCTGCATAAAAATCTGGACATGACACAATCCCGCTCCTCTCACAGGTCGGTAAAGAGCTTGAAAGGCTACTTCTTCAGTCTCGTGGTCCTCGGCCTGCTATTGAGCTTTTTTGAGTTTCTTTTCTGCTTCGATATTCTCGCTGTCGTCTTCTTTCCAGGCCACGATAATGTAGCCGATCAGGACAACATTCGCTACCACAGCAGCAAAGGCGCCAGAATATATGGCATTTCCTGGTTTGCTTTTAGTATAAAATCATGCAAAAGGATCAATCGGCCGTCCTTGCGACAGCCATCGCATCGCCTACCTCTAAAGACAGAATTGAGCAAAAGAAAGTATGAGCCGATTGGCGCACAGATCATGGCCACGGTGAAGGCGAGAAGCTTGTAGATGACGGCGCTACATTTTGTGTCAGGTTGCCATACGTGAGGCAAGGCAGTTCTTTTTGTCGGAGCCCTCAACTTCTTGTGTGCACTTACGCTGGAACGGCTGGCGATGTATCAGAGACTTGGTCAGAGGGTAGCGGGCCACCTTGTGCCTGCGAGATGGTTTTCTCGCTGGCATTATTACGTCGGGTCGCCATGGTCGCCTGCGTCGGGTAGAGAGAAAAGCCTCCTGTCGTCGCCCTGGCGCAAGGAGGGAAAGGGACTGTCGAGGTGAGAGATCTGGCGAGACAGGCGGCGGACGGACATTGAAGAGCCAGAGAGCCAAATACGAGTACAAGGCAGGCAGGCACGGATTTTAATGGGGCTCTGTCTGACAAAAAGGAAGATTCAATGCTAGATTACGGCGAGCTACATCGTACTTTTCCATTTGAACGAGTCCTCTAGAAAATCTGTGGAAGTTGTGGCGCAGGCGTCCCATTCTGCGCCAAAGTATATGGTTAGCTGCATATTCTTTTCTCAAGGAGATGTTTTATTCTTCTGAGCGGTACTATTCGCCTGCTCATGTCTGCGATGCAGCCCTGTTGGATGCCGGCCTCGGGCGCGCGAGGGGAATTCAGATGATTAAGCTTGGCATGACGCGCTCACGCCTGGACGCGTCGATTCGAAAGACGGACGAGGGGGTCCACAGTAGTAGAGCAGGTGTTGGGAAATGTATTATACCCGTAATGTTGAGGAGCTTTTCCAGGTCGGAATTTGGGAATACCAACAGAGCCAAGAGCCTAGATTATTAGCCATCTTATAGTGCTTCAATTGACATTTTAACCCCTCTGATTTTCTCAAGGCGATAGCTAATACCTACAAGTAAACTGGCATGCTGAATGTATCCAAGTAGGACACCGGTCCAGGTGCATGGACAGCCTACAATGGCCTGCCTCATTAATAGGACCATCCCGGTGGTGATTTACCGAGCAATATTACACGCGAGTCCACGCGTTATTGGCACATTTATATTTGAAATCGAGTTTGAGAAAATAAGGCATCAAGGTCGAGTAAACTTACCTTAACGTTGTGATGTAACCACATCACCCTATGACACTACACCACACTAGTACTATAGTGTATCTTTCGAGAGGATTAGTAGGCTGGAAGATTCGTAACGAGAAAAAGCCTTTTCGTTGTAATACCCGTGTTCGTATGCCCGATAACAGGTCCTGAGTAATTTATAAACACCGCTCAAAAGACCCTCTTCTGCACGCTTCGTGCTTTGGCGGTGGAATCCATCTCTGCGTCGAGGGGGTGAATAGTGCCACTTCACGAAGCATACTATAACTTGTTTCTCGAAGATGTACTCGGATTTTTAATACAACCAACTACCCGCCCTGTGCAACTTGACTCACCCGCAGCAAATCCAAGCACCGGACCCTCCCTCTCCCTTCACCGAACAATGTCTTCCGACGACTCTCTGTCGCAGTCGGACGATGAACTGTTCAATCCAAAGTACAAGCCTACCCACGAGACGGTCGAGACGCTTCCACTGTATAGGCCCGGCATGAGTGACGACGACTCTGACATCGAAACCCTCGCAACCTGGCCGGTTCATCGTCCTGGGGTAAAATCTCAGAACATGGATATAATCCGACAGACACAGCCAACTCAAATCATTGATCGTTCCGCCGAAAACATGTCTTCCTCTCCTTCCAAGCCTGGCGTCGTCCAGGTCGCTGCCTCCTCTCCGATGGCCACCCCCAATTTACAACGGAAACCCACAGGAATACTGGCAAGCGCTATGGCACCGGCAGGGACGGTGTTCAGAAAACCATATGTGGCGCCTCAGCCTCGTGCCGTTCCCATAACGATCGACAGCGACGACGAGGGGCCCACCTATCGTGGAGGGTCGTCAGACAGCGAGGGTCATGGCATTCGGTCGAATGATATCAAAACATCTACATTTGTGCGGAAGAACAAGTCGCCAGGGAAAATTCCCGAATCGCCGCAGCCTCAAAACAGTGGACTGAGTCGCTTCATGGAGATTACTTCACGATCCGTGTTCAGAGGCTCTCCAAACTCGACGTCTTCGGCTGGGTCGAGCGGAGTGAAACGCTCTGCGGATGTTAATGCAAACGCTTACGGCAGCATTTCAAAGAGACCGCGACAGACTGGGCCTGCCCGTGCAATGCCCGTGGTCTCGTCACCGCCGGCTGTGCGGCAAGAAGAAATGGAGCTTGATGATATCAGTGACTATAGCACGAGACAGAAGGTGAATCGACTAATGTCAATGCTTCGTGCGGTGACGGTGAGAGAATGTTACGAAGTCCTGCTCTCGAATAAAGGGGTTTACGAAGATGCGATCGATGCGCTGCTTTTGCGGAGCGAGAAGCGACAATCTCAGAACAAGAAAAGCGCTGTCGATTTGACCGGTTCGGACGACGAGCTGATGCCTACTCCTGCAGCCAACAGACCCGTGCCTCAACACACGAGTACAGCAAGGCAGCACGCCAAGGTACCGCAGAAGAGCATCACTGAAAAATGGAGCTCTACTCAGAACATCAGAAAGCCGTCAAAGACAATAGATGTCTTCGAAACCCCGCCTCCGCAGAAGAAGAAACGAACGCTGGTGCGTGGCAGGAAGCATTCTTCTTCGCCTCAGCCTGTGCCCGAAGAAGTCATACAAAGGCCGAAGCGCGTGGTCGCCATAGAGTCGGATGATTCCGACGCAGATGTATCACCAGTCTCATCGGACAACGAGAGCAAGAAACCCTTCCAGAGTCGTGTCCTTGATCTGTTCAACACTTGTTCTGCGGCGGATTTGGCTGACATTGCTTCCATAACCCGCGACCTCGCTGAGCACTTTTTATCCAAACGGCCTTTCAAAAAGCTCGATGCCATCAGACAAATCGAGGATCCGAAATTAAAGCCTACAAAGACGAAGCGTAGGACAGCTCCCATTGGTGAAAAGATCGTCGACAAGGTTGAGGATATGCTCGAGAGCTATGAGGCTGTTGATTATCTCGTGAAGAAATGCCAAAATCTGGCGAAACCGTTGGCTGATGAGATGAAGAGTTGGGGAGTCAAGCTTGCTGGCGATCATGAGGGAGAATTGGATATAGCCTCGCTACAAGCCTCATTCCCAGGTCATGACTCCGGCATTGGTACACCTGTGAGTGACGACGAAGACATCAAACGTTCAGGGCAAAAGAGATTCATCGGCCAACCTTCGATCATGGCCGACGATATGAAAATGAAGGACTATCAAATCGTGGGGCTCAACTGGCTTAATTTGCTCTACAAGAAGGGACTGAGTTGCATCCTAGCTGACGACATGGGACTGGGAAAGACTTGTCAAGTCATTGCCTTTTTGGCTCATCTTTTCGAGCAGGGGAAGAAGGGACCTCACCTTGTCGTGGTGCCCGCAGCGACTCTGGAAAATTGGCTCAAGGAGTTTCAACGCTTTTGCCCAGCACTGACGGTCGAACCGTACTACTCGACAAATCCCGGCGAGCGGCTAAGGCTGAGTGCATTTCTCGACCAAAACCGCGACGAAGTCAATGTCATTGTCACCACCTACACGATAGCCAAGGGCAAAGACGATGCTCCCTGGTTGAAAAGCTTTGGGTTTGACTGTACAATTTATGATGAGGGCCATGTGTTGAAAAACGCCGATTCCCAAGTCGCGAGTAAATTGGTCAAGATTCAGTCCAATTTTCGCCTTTTGCTCACCGGGACTCCCCTGCAGAACAACTTGAAGGAACTCATCTCCCTGCTCGCTTTTCTAATGCCGGCTCTCTTTCGGGAGAAGGCGCAAGCACTGAAGAACATTTTCACTCACAACTTCAAAGCGCTGGACAACAACCACGAAATGCTCCTGTCGGCACAGCGAATCCAGCGTGCGAAAAGCATGCTCACGCCGTTCATCTTGAGACGGAAGAAATACCAAGTCCTCAGGGATCTGCCAAAGAAGGAGCGAAAGGTGGAGTTCTGTGACTTGAGTCCCGAACAATCAGAGCTCTATCAAATGTGGCTTGACAAGGCTTTTGAGATCCGTGCGAGGCGGGAGAGAGGCGAAAACGTGACCCAGGAATCGACAAACATCTTGATGAAATTGAGACATGCCGCCATTCACCCATTTCTCTTCCGGCGCCTCTATCCGAACAAACAGCTGCCTGTTATTGCAAAGCAGTGCCTGAAGGTGGACCTATGGCGAGAATCAAACCCCGATCTCATCGTCACTGAACTTCTCGAGTATAGCGATATGGAAATTCATACCTTATGCGATAAGCATGCACAGCTTCGACGCTTTGCACTTAACGGCGACGAGTGGCGTGCAAGCGGTAAAATCCAGAAGATGATGGAACTTTTACGCAAATTCATCTCTGAAGGCCACAGAACGTTGATCTTCAGCCAGTTCGTCATGGTCCTCGACATTCTCGAGTTGGCGCTGGAACGTGAGGGCATCGACTCCTTCCGCCTTGATGGTGCCACCAAGGTATCAGAACGACAAGACCTGATCGACGAGTTCTCTGCCGATGACAACAATACGCCTGTCTTTATGCTCAGCACAAAAGCAGGAGGCGCCGGGATCAACCTCGCCAAAGCGAACAAAGTCATTATCTTCGACAGCGGCTTTAACCCGCAGGATGACATCCAGGCTGAGAACCGAGCACACCGCATTGGGCAGGAGAAGGACGTTGAAGTCATCCGGTTGATTTCCCGGGGCACCGTGGAAGAGCAGATCTACGCCATGGGTCTGACGAAGCTGAAGCTTGACGAACAAGTCGCTGGAGACGGGGAAGAGCAGGCACCGAGGAAGGACAATGAAGAAAACGAAAAGGAGGCCGAGGGCCGCATGATTGTCGAGAAGATGTTTTTTGACAAGATCGACGTCGAACCCATCGAGCAGGTCAAGGCCGAGGCCGCCAGTCCCGTCAAGCAAAGGGTGGAGCAGCACTCGGCCGTGTCGGAGCAAGTGCAGGATGATGTTGAAGATGACCACAAAGCTCGCCCTGGCACTGGACGGAAGAAAAGCAGTGACTTGCCCAATCGTCTGCGAGTCCGCAATGCAAAAACAAAGATCGAGAGTTGAGCTGGGGGGGGGGGGGGCGCGGCAGACGGGTACGCTGTCAGGTGCCGTTAGGCATGGGGTTGTTGGATAAAATTGAAGAAGTCTGCTGACGGGTATTCTGTATTGGCGATGGAGATGAAGAGGAGATCTTGTTTCAAATCTACATACATTTTTGAAACACGACTCTTGTTGTACGAAGACAGGACAGAAGAGGCTGGTTGCCAGTCACTGCACAGTCACTACTCAGAGCTGAAGGTGGTGCGGTCTTTGGACATGACAATCACTTCCCAGTCAGGTTCATCCTCGACTCGAATCAGTGAGTGAGCGAGCGAGCGAGTGAGTCAATGAAACATGAGACATGCACATAAATACAATACAATACGGACGGTCGGGCCGGTTTATATGTACAGCCAGTCACGGCATCACCAGTGAGGGTGAAGAAGACATCTCATGTGCCTCTCTAGAGTGTCTGTCTTCTGCGCGCAGGGTCTATTTCCAGCGGTCAATTTCCATCTGCAATGCTTTCTTTCTTCTCAACCGACCACATTGATTCGTTGGGCCGTTGAACCTCTTTCTGTCGTTGTCGTTGTCGTTGTCTTTGTTGACTCAATACGAGTATGGAGGGTTGAGCAATCCATCCAAAGAACCCAGAACCCAGAACCCAGTTGTCATGTATAGATAGATTCAGGGCTTCAATTCCCAAATCCGATTCGGCCATAAGCATAATACTACTTCGCGTCCCATCCTTGCCATAGTATATCAGGTCGTGCCATACCATACCATACCGTATCATGTCCTGTCATGTCAAGTCAAACCCCAAGATATATATCATCCATATCGTCCATATCGACAGCAGATCCAGACCTACACAGTAGATCCGTGGTGATGAATGCCCCAGCGGTGCCCTACTGCCTGGTGATCTGCGTCTTTGTATATTCCCGATTCCGGACCTTTTCTTTTTGCTTCTCTTTCATTGCTGGGATGTGAATCTGAATCTGAAATCCTAGGGTCCCTGGACTGGGTTGGGCAGGGTCTTCTTTGGCTTCCCTTTCCCTCTCCAATTTCGTTTCCGGTTCCAGCGCTCCAAGGATCCCGTGGTTGACGACTATGGGATGATGTATCAGACAATATAAAATCCCCATCAAATCAAATCAACTCTTGCCTCCTCTGGAGGACTTGCCCGATTCGGGCACTGACCATCCTTCAGTGACGCCGCTGGTGCGAACGCCGCCGCTCGACGTCGGTGACAAGACATAGGACTCGATCATCAAGCACGCGTCCGGGAACAGAGGCGTCAAGACGACGTTGGACCACAGAAACGAGCGTAACATCTCCAAAACATCCCGCTGCCAGTCGTCGGGCCAGCTGACGTCCCTGCTCCGATAGCCGTGTCTGTACCTGTACCTGTACCTGTACCTGCGGGCCAGGGCCGTGCTGAGCATCTCGATGAAATGCGAGCGGTTCTCGCTCTCGAATGTGTTGACCAGCCCGACGAAGCAGGCCCAGATATACAAGTCGATGTAGTCGGGAGAAGATGGCTGAGTGGGAGGAGGGGGAGGAAAAGGCGAAGAATGGGAGGAGGAGGAAGAGTAAGAATCATCAGTGATACCGCCACCGCCGCCGGGAGGTAAAGTGTCAATGGACTCGAGTGTCGTCATGTAGGCCAGGGTCTTGCGCAACCGCGAGATGACGGCGACCACGATCGGGACCAACGGCCCCGCGTGGAACAGTGTCGTCAGCCGCAGCAGGTTCATAGCCAGCACGACGGCCTCGTCCAGGGAATGCGAACCACGTAGCCGATAGGCCAGGCTGATGCGCTCGATGGTGCTCTTGTTCAGCAGTTGCATGAGGTATCTGTATTCGGCGATGGAGAGCCGGCCAGTCCGGGTGGCCGTGTCGTGGGAGACGAGAAGTAGTTTCATGTCGCGTGCCGCTTTGAGCGTTTCTGGCCCGAGGAGGGAGTTGAAGGAGGCCGGGACGACGGCCACGGCGGACAATTTCGCCAGCGACGGCGGCATGGGCGCGTCGTCGTCGGCCCCTGTAGGTCCAGGCTCGCCAAAGAGCACGTCTTCCCCCAGAAACTGCGCCGTGAGAAAGTCGGCCCAGAGAATCAATTGTCTGATGGAGGCGGCCTGGCCAATCGACCCAGCGCGACCGATGGCGCTGAGACCTCCACGCGCTGCCACCAGTGCTTGAACACCGGCCGCGTGTCGTCTCAGGGCGTCGGGCTGGGCGAACATGGTCGCCGTGGCCCAGAGTAGGACAGCCGACAGGATGGCTTCGTCGGTGACGGCCGTTTGTCCCTGATCCAGCAGTTTCCGCCGCAGCGACTGAAGGGCTTGGGTCTCGTACGCGAGGTGAGCAAAGGCCGGGCTGTGGCCCATCAGGTACTCGACCCCTTTCCACGCGGCGATGACGCTGAGGCATAACGACGTGTCGGTCATGACAGGCATGATCATGCTCCCTCCGATCTCGTTCATGGCGAGACCTTCGGGTAGAGGGAAAGCGGTTGCGGCTCCCATCTTGGAATGGAGTACTGCAGTGCACCTCAGGGCCCGCCCCAGGATGGGCGGGAGATTGCAATTAGTTTCATTGTCTGTTTCTTTAATGGCATGGCATACCCATAGAGAAAGGAAATGCTCCGCCTCTCAGGTGCGCAGACAGAGGTCGATAGAACTCACAATTGTAAACCGACTGATGTAGATCGGCTCGATGTCCCCCCGACACAGGCAAGTCATGGAATCCATCCAACCTGCCAGCTCCCAATGAGGGCGGCGTGCTCGTGTACGCATACGACTTGACGAAGCTTGTCTCGAGCAGCTTCGACTGGCGCTGTGGCTGTGGCTGTGGCTTTGGCTTCTGGTTCTTTCCGAGCCCGAGCTCATCTGGCTCTTTTGTGGTTTTCGTCGTGACTGTCACCGCGGATGTACTGCTGCTGTTTTTGCGGCTCCGGTAAGCAAGATACGCTCTGTGCGAGGGCAGCGGGCATCGCGGTCGCCGACACACCCCACATGTTGTTGGATCTTGCTGTTGCGACGATGATGATGATGACAATGATGACGACGACGATGGTGATGGTGATGGTAACGACGTCTGCGTCTTCGTCTGCCTTGTCAGACCAGCTACCGCTACGGGAATGGCGTGACTAATATCACGTTGGGAACCTGAAGCCATGCGGACATGGGGAAAAGGCCCCGAGATACCTGCATCTGCATCGTCGCCGGACCGCAGGGAAGAAGAAGGGCGACGAGGGTGAGCGATGCGCTGAATCGAGACGAGGGTTGAAGAAAATTAGCAATCTCGCCGAGACGCGTGAAGCGAAGGCGAAAGCGAAAGGCTCGTTGTTTCTTCGTTTGTGCGTTCGTAGTTTGGTAGGGATACGGAGGCCCGAGTCCCCCGTAAGGTAAACGTGATCTGGTGTAACCTCCGTACTGGAAATAGACCGAGTTGATGCTGCTTTTGGGTGCCAAATCAGTCGACGGGGGATGAGGGATCGAGTCTGACTCCTTCTTGCCGTTTGTGTCCGCTTATCACCAGGTAATGCCTGTTGCTGCTAGGGTTCTAACCCAGCAGAGGCAAGGGCCCCTTTCCTGATGCGAAATTGCGGTCATGTTAATTACGAGTACCGAGAACGAGGATCAATCAAGACAATGGTGACTAGAAAACCAAATCATGACTAAGAGCCGAGAATGACTTGACCAAGTCTCACCATTTCGATAGTCCGTGTCAGAGCAAACGAGGAACCATGTGACAATTGACACGACAGCGGCCCTTTCTATCGATTGAAATGTGTACAAATCCTGGCTTGGGATGAATAGAAGGCCCCTTCACAGCTCCATCTCGCACATGAACCCCCCAATTCCTTGTCGCGTTCCCCTCTACCGTGAGTTGACTCTATGTCTAGATTCGAGAGAAAAGGACAGAGACGGTCTCTCTTCGGGCAGTCTTCCTACCCGATCCTGGTTCAACCTTCGACTTTCTCGCTGGCAGGAGACGAATCAGCCTCATAGTGCGTCGTCTCACCCCCTTTGACGCCATTTGGTGCATGTGCTGCGAAGTCGACCTCGAGGTCCCGTTGATAGATGGCCACCTCATCCGCATCGCCAAAGATAGCGGCAACTTCCTCCAACGGCAGGCCGTTGGTGTCTGGGAAGAAGAACCAGATGGCAAGCCCTCCAAGTGTGCCTGGTATAATGAAGCAGAGATAGAATTTCCAGCCTATATTCTCGAAGGCGGTAGGGGCGCTATGTGCGTGAGGTTAGCATGGAACTGCAGGAAATTGACAGGCGGCATTAAGACGCTGCCAGGGCCATCATACCTTTGTAGCCAAATGATGTTCATCAACGAGATCATCGAGACACCAAGACAGACACCTTTGGCTCGCAAGTGGGTTGGGAAGATTTCCCCCAGGTACGAAAACTGCGTCCCATCGAGACACAATCCGTAGAAGACCTGGAAGATGAAGAACATGGCCACTGCCGCCGACAGCGCAGACTTGTTGTTGGACGGCACAAAGTTGGCGACTAGTGCGGCTTCCACAATCAAGCTGGCCATGCAACCCAGAACTCCAAAGGAGATGAACTTGTTCCGGGGGAAGCGGTCTACCACCAGCATGCCCATGACGTTCATGCCCAGGGCAAATGTGAGCCAGGCAGCCGGGTAGAGGAGTTGTTTAACCTGCGAGAAATCGAGGGATGCGTACAGCGAGGGACCATAGTTGTTGATGACCAAGACGCCAGAACACTGGATGATGCCAGTAGTCCCGAGGGCCAGCAGCGCCCGTTTGCGGTACGACGGCTTCTTCATGATGTGCAACCACGAGTTACCCAGGGTTCGGTCAATCGCGAGCTGCTTCTGGATCTGGAAGAACTCGGCCTTCGCAGCCGTGTTTTCGGGATCGCTGGGATCAGCATGGAACTTGAACAGGACAGCCTCAGCTTCCGCATCACGTCCATTCATAACCAACCATCGTGGCGACTCCTGCAGACCGACAATATCAGTACATGTTCTTTGGCTTCACTCCCGTTTCATCCGACTTCGTCGTCGGGGAGAACCAGACATGGCTGGACTGCATCCAAAAGAGCATCTGACTTACAGGGACGAAATACAGACCAACCAACAGGCACAGTGGCCAGAAGCACTGAATTGCGATGGGAGGCCTCCAAGTATTCGAGCCTCCATCCTTCCAGAAGTAGAAGCCAAATCCAACCCAGCCTTGAATTGTATAGCCGAGCACGAGCATGACTCCGTGAACGTCCACAAGAGCACCGCGCATGTGGACCGGGACAATTTCGTTCATCAGGATGGGCACCGCCGCGAGGATCATGAAAGCAGCAGCACCGGCCACAAATCGAAAGGCGATGAACATGCCTACATTCACACTGCCGGCCATGATAGCACCCGACACGATGGCAAGAATGGACGACTGTAAAGCAAGTCAGAACCGCTCAAGAGTGGTAGGAATTGTATCAGCCCTTACCACAGCGCAGGCCCATTTGCGACCCCATTTGTCCGCGACCGTCGGGAGTAGTAATGTTCCAATCACACCTCCCGTCTGGAAAAGGCCATTCATGGTGGATATCAAGTCGGTTCCATCGGAACGGGTTGCAAGGTCAAAGTATTCAATGAAGGATGGTTGGCCTAGATGCACCCAACATGAGTTTCAACGTCTCCAAGGAGACGTCAAGATACGTACCCAACGTAGTTCCAATAATACTTGCCGTGTAGCCATATGTTATAGAACCAAAGCCCAATACAGCAAGCACGGCGCAGGTATGCGCATTGAGCTTTTGTCTGCGAAGGAGACCTTCTGATGCTGAGTTACGACGCATGCTGCAAGGTCTTGCTGCGATCAATAAAGAGTATTTGGTCCGATGTCAGGATCACAGAGGAAGCTGGCAGGAGAAGGGGGAAATTATAGGCATATGAATAGAGTCTATAAGAGCCGAGACTTGGTACAAGAGCCGCGGACCGCGTTGTCTTTGACACCAGAGTCACTGACCCGTGACTGGTCCTGCCAGCTTACCTTCCCCCAGTCTCCGCGAAATCCCCGCGTTAGGCAAGTCACAGCCAGGGGGCAAGGCTCCGGTGGGTCAAGGCTAGACCAGATGATTGGTGGTGGTCGTGATTGTCCTGGCCACGCTGGTGACGCTGCCCTCGGTACATCTTTCCTGACTCAGGAATTCTAGAGTCAGGGCGAAGGTTCTTATGTGAAAGATTCGAGGTCAAGGAAGCCATGGGAGTAAGTGCTTAGCGGTTGAGCGCCGGGGAATTCCCACATGAGCAATGATTCCTTGCTCTTGGTCAAACTCATGCTGAATGAGTCTCCCGTTATGACTCGACAACTGATCGAAAATTTCGAAAGATCCAGACCAGGCCCGGAAGAGCAAAGTCGGACCTTTTGGTTTGAAGCGCCCAAGTAAACTTGTGTTATTGTGCTCGGGACATGGAAGTGAGTAGACCCGACATGCTAAGCACGCTCTGGCTCCATATATTTGAGGGTTTTGCTTCAAGGAAACCTGGGGCGACAAAGGTAGAGCAGAGGGGCAAGGGGTTATCGTGGTCAAGCCAGAGTATGCGATATTTGTGAATCGTTTCGGTATCTTCCCGTCGCGTCGACGGTCAGGCAGAAGGCTGATCGAGAGGTGCAATGTGTGTACGCTTGACGAGAACAGACAACGTGGTTGCCCACGTGGATCCCTTGCACCTGCGGTCAATATCGACATGAATATATAGTCAAAAACTAATCAGAGATCTGCTTGCTGGCAAGCTCCTCGTTTGATTGCGAACTGCACACCGCATCAATTATGCGGAAATCTTTGAATAGCCGCTGTTATGGTGCAAGTCAGCAGCAGCAATTGTTCAGACAGGAAATTAGAGGGACAGGCAAACAGCCATCGATTGATCACCAGGAGACTGGTCGAAACACACAAAGTTCCTTGTTTAGCCATTCAAACTGGAGCGCCTCGAGTCTTCAGAACCTCCAGATATTTCTTCTTGACTGTTGCATTGCCGTATCGGTAGGAGCCTTTGCTTTCCATATACTCAGCAACTTGTTTCCACGGTACTTTATTGACAAATTGACCAATGGAAACGGCATCGAGATCTTTGGAAACCTGAATGTCAACCGAGGTCGACTTCGAGCAATAGGAAACTGCTTCGAAAAGGAGCCGAACCTATTACGTAGCGCGTTAGTATCTTGGGCTTGCTTTCCAAGGGCAACTCACATCTCGATCGCTCCATTCTGGTTTCCTCAGTCTTGCTTCCCTTGGTTTCGTCAGAGCACGATATCGTCCTCTCAAGGTTGATTCAGCCTCCTCGAACTTCAATCGCTCCTTGATAATCTTGTATGACAGTCCTTGTTCTTTTAGCTGTACTAGAAGCGTGTCTTTTGAGGTGTCGCGCTGTCCACTCTTTACTCCCAATTGTCTACCCTGGGGGGTTGAAATGTTTGTCAGGCCCGTGGGTGATGAGGTGGTCGCTTCGGAAGCCCAAAGATCTGGATACTGGACGCTCTGATCATACGCAGACGCATGTTCCAATTCCTGATAATGAGCGGTCGGAAGGATTTGGTCCGCAGAAGAGGCTGGAGGGTCATTCTGGAAGTCAAAAGGGTCATCACCGTAAGAGGGCAGCTCGGGTAAAGGCGGGTAAACTAAGGCAGTCGAATCATATTCAATCTGTTGTGGCAGGGGAAATGTAGGGTCGATCGGACAAAAATTGAATACAGGATCCAGATGTGACTGGGCAGCACAATGTTGAGGTGATGTGGCCGCACCAAGTACGTGCGACTCGTAGTTCGTTGCAATAGAAGGCCAAAGCTCACTCGAGCCAGGGGTCTTTGCTTCCAGGAGAGTCTTCGGGGTGGTCAAATCGTCACCACCGATAAGCTGGCCATCTGGCATGCTGTTGTCCGGCATGAAGATGTCAAACTCGTCTGGAGATAGATTTTGAAAGAGCGAATTGAAATCATCCGGTCCGAGGGGCGTTCGCTGCTGCGCATAGGATGTGTAAGCCGTCGACTGCCGCATATCCATACCAATAGCCATTCCGGTTGTAGGGGGTAAATGCGTGAAAGCCTTGGCCTGGTTTGCGCAGCCCTCATTCAACGAGGTACTGAAAATGTCAAGACTCTGAGAATCTGGTGGCCGTGTCGGGACATGGATGACACTTGAGAACCCTGACCCCTCAGACCGCAAACTGTTCCCGACTTCGCCCTGGTCAGTGTATGCGCCATAATTTCCAGTTGACATAGTGCGGTTGCCGTGTTGTGAGGATGGACAGAAGTGCACATTGACGCCGTAAGAAGCTGCGGAGTTCATGGTTTGTTGCGCTGGACGCTGCATTGCGGGCGACTGGGTGTGGGCGAGACTGTGAGAGTTTTCAAAGCAGGTGAGATTGACCGAACTCATATGGGAAGCAGGGCACGGGGCTCCAGCGGAGTGACAGATATGGAGTGTGTCAGAAGACGCCGGTTGGGAATGGTGAGTCGGAGCTGGAGTGAAGTAACTCGGTGCAGACCATCTTGGTACGTGACAAGGAAAATGAGCCTGTCCACAACAGAACGTCTTTCCCTCGGTGTAGGTTTCAGAGTATCTTGAATCAGCTGTTTTCGGGGACATTTCTGCAAGCTGCAAGGCTGCGCAGTGCAGAAGCGAGTGATAGATTTGGCGACTACAACTGGTGAAGGGCCGAGAGCAGTGTGCTGTGAGAGTCTGAGCGACAGGTTGCGTTTTCATGTTGAATCATTGGCCACATTACAATCAGCACCTGCGTGGTCATCCATGGAAACGGAGTCGAGTCTGTTCGTACTGCAAACAGAACCCATCCACGGCATCGGGATCGAATTAAAAATCCCCAAGAACGTGAAGACGAGGGTCTGCGTGGTAAGAGTCAAGCTTACCTTTTGATTCCATCCACAAGTAAATGTCTCGCATCGAGCTCTGCTCCGGTCTTTGATACATCGGCAGAGGTTGCTCCTAGTCTGCGGAACCTTAAATGAATCGGGTTGTTGCACAATAGCTCCTCGATAGCTGGTCTGCTGCGTCGTGCTGTCTTGATGGCCCACGATTGCTTGAGCCAACAACTCTGTTTCCACATAGGACACAAACAAGCCTAGAGAGCAGCCCTTTGTCACCACATCCTCCTACCTTATTGTGTCCTGCTCTGTTGCCCACCATGTACTTGCCATGGCTCGAAGTAAAAAAAACCATAAAAGAAAACATCGCCTATTTGGGGCAAGGGAAAGCATTCAACACAAGATAGTCGCGATGTGGCAGTGTTCCGGTGGCCCGTCTATGCCAGCTGCCACGGGGTGTGAGAAGGGCAAACAGGAAGGCTCTATTTCGATATGTGTGTTTTCTGTGGATGGCAAGTTTTAGGTAATCAGTTGGCTCGGTCTATTAGTTCTGGCACTTCTTTGGAGTTTTCTGGGACTGGGGCCACGGGCAAGTACCAGATCGAATTCGTGGATATGTTCAGGGTTCATCCGTTCGTGATCAGCAAAGGTAGGTGATGTGCCGAGGGGGTCACCAGGCGGGAGATATGGCAAAGGGCAAGCAAACATCAAGGGCACCGTGTTACATTGTTTGCCTGCTTGTCAATTTTGGGCAGCCGGTCTGGTATTAGCCTGCGGGTCCGCTCCTTTGGGGGATGGCATAAACTGCGCGAGTTGTGCGCAGAGGGGGGATCGTGATGCTTCGCGAGGTGCTCTCGGGTGAATGAAGATGAGTTCATGGTTGAGCACTGTAGGCCATGGATCGTACCTGTTCGCTCGATTGGACGTACCAGGGTTGTGGAGCTGTCATATCGGGACATTGCAGCGGGAAGCAGACGGACTGTCATTTGATATTGGTTGGCCGATGTCCGGAGCCACGATTAGCTCCCCTTGATCTGGTCCCCAGGATATGTCTTATCGAGAGATGACGAAAGCTGGTTGCAAGAGACAGTGTTTCGCCCTTCGTTGTGCTCAAACCTTTTTTAACCGCTGTCATCCTTCAGCAACGTGTTTGCCACACTCTGCGCGCCTTGAATCTGGGTCTGTAGACCTCCGCAGGAACATGGGGTGTCGCAGTGGTTGTCCTGGGCTGTGTTTGGTGTCAATGAAGCAATCATTCAAAAGGCATTGCACGGGGTGGCAGACGCGAGGAGATGTGGGGGCCGACATGTATTGAGAGTAACTTGTGCTATTATCTGATAGGAGCCATGAAAATATCAAGTGGCCAGGATCTCGAGGTGAAGGAGAAGGTATCGGGAGGTTGAGATGAGGTTGTTTAAGTAACGACGCAGTGACGTTGTCCCAGGCCATTATTCAGCATTGCTGCCAAGACGTGGGAATTCTGCAGCCATCTCACCCCCGATCGCTGGTCGCCCTTGAGTCTCCGTGCGAGGGACCTGTAGGCCACGACGCCGACCGCCTTGGCACTGGGGGCCGCCAAGACTGCAGCCGCCGAAGATTTACCTGCCAGGATCACAATGGCCTGATGTCCTCACAACAACTCTGTTTGGAAGGGATCTTGGAGGATAATCAGATCACTCTCTCCCCCAAAGATAATTGACTTAACATCCTCGCGGTCTCAGCCAGCGAGTGAGCATCCAAGTGGGCACAGAGCACGGAGAGTTTGATGCCATTGGCTCTATTTCCGACCAGATTTGACATCAAAGGGACGAACCATGACCGAGACAGCGAGAATGCTAGGTCTCACCGAACCACTACACCAGAGGGTGTCCCAGAAGTTCCTGACAGCCTTCAAGGCCAAGGACATTCTATTCTCCGAGACTAGTCTCGCATACCTCCAAGCTAGGGGAGGGGCTTCGGTGAGTGCGGCGCCAT